GCGGGTCCTCACTCAGAGTTTGAGGCCCCGGAGCAGCCCCTTCTGGTTAGAGCAGGGATGGGGCGTGGCAGACGTCAGGGGGTGGGGTGCGCCTCCTGACCTCCTTTGGCCTCTCTGTAGAGCCCTGCCAGCGGATGGGTTAGTGGTGACAGACGGCTCTCCCGGGGCCTGTCAGCCTCCTCAATCTGGCCAGGCTGGGGGAGGAAGAACCTGCCGTAGGATCCCCTCTGCACCCCCTTCCTCGCCCCGCTTTGCTCACCTGCCCCTCACCCACTCCGGGCCCTCAGGCTTGGCACTCATCTAGGAGGCCATGGTGTGTGGACATGTGAGAGGGCTGGGGCTGTGTGTGGTGTCCTGTGTGACACTTTGTTTATATTCACAGCAGTCAGGTTCACACGTCTGCGTCTGCACGATGCAGCTTGGGCTTTGGCACTTTACGGTGTGTGGGTCCCAGGCGGGGGCTGGGGGGGGAGGGCACCAGCACAGGGCCTGAGGCTAGGGCTTTTCCTGGGAAAGTTCAGGGGAATAACAGCTGCAACATTGAATTCCTGGCCTGGTTTTCAATCAGGCCAACTTCACCTGCAGGCCCCTTTCTGAGGAGCCACCAGCCGCGGCCATGAGCAGACCCCTAGCAGGGTGGCCTTGACCCCACCCTGATCCCATCCTCTGGAGGACTCTGGCTTCTGGCGCCAACAGAACCCCCAAGACCCCAGCAAGCATCCTGACCACCACAGGTGGACACAAGCACGTAGACATCCTCCCAGACACACTCGAGCCACAGGGTGGGCAGCATATGCCTATCCACATACGGGAACAGGCCTTTGCATTCCCAGGACACAAGAACACACAGGCCAAGGGCCACTTGCCTGCTGCCACGCTTGCATGCATGTCTACACAGTCCCCACCCGTGTGTTGTATGTGGGTCATCGTGTGTCCCGTAGCCTGCGTGACTCTGGCTCTGTGTAAAACAGGGTGCATTTCTTCGTGACACACGGGAATTGCTCTGTGTGTGTTCAGTGCCTTCCGGGATGGATTTCCGGGTGTCAGTGTTCATTCATCTGTGTGTGCACACAAGGGATACTGTGGGGAGGGGTCATGTCTGGGTGACGGCAGCTGGTGGGTCATCTCTGTGTTGTCCGTGTGTGTCTGTGTGTGGTCCACGTGGACATGCTTGTGACCCCGGGAATCAGGAGCTGGCTGGGCTGCCACTCTGTCACCAGCAGAGGCTGTGACCAAGGGTAGGGCCAGGTGGGATTGGACTGAATCCCCCCGCCGTTGACAGCCGTATTCACAGAACTCTGAGTAGGACGTAATTGCTTCTATTAATCTTTCTCCGGTTGTTAATTGCTCACTTATCGGGTTGTGTATTATGCCGACTGTTGCTCTTAATTCGCCTCCATAGCTGCAGGTGTTTGCCGCCTTATTAACTGTTAATCGGCGCGGCTAGGGATAGAGACTTAATTGGCCCCCAGAGTGGGACGCAGGCGGGCCAGCCGGGCAGTGCCAGGTTCTCAGCCTGTCCCTGGAAGTCTCACCTGAGGAGCACAGGTGGCTCCTGGGGACCAGCTGGCCTGCTGCCATCCACCAGCAGTCAAAGTGATAACCTCAGGATATGGCCCTCCTGCAGTTCCACCTCCTCCAGGAAGCCAATCAATCAGTCAGGGCCCAGCTCCTAGACACCCTCCTCCTGCAGCACCAACAGTCTTCCTTACCCTGAAGGGAGCCAGCCCCATTTATTCTCTTTCTCTGAATCCAACTGAGGACTAGCAGACCAGTGCTGGAACTGAACGGCTCCTTCCACGCCCTCCCAGCCTGCCCTCTGACCCTAGCAGTCAAGGTCATTAAGGTTACAGAGACACTGGGAAATAGGCAGGCCAGAAGGGGCTTCTGCCAGTGGGGAAAAGCTCCACAGGAGGTCCAGGCAGGACTTCCCAGTGTGCAAGGAGGCTGTGTGAAGTGGTCAGATCCAGGACTTGCAGGAGGTCCCACCATGCCTTCAGGGCACCCCACCCCTGCCAAAACACACACCCCAGCTTCTGCTTGCACTGCCCCAAGAACCAGAAACTCCCTCCCTCCATGGCACAGCTGCCAGACAACAGCAAGGACAGGGTCCTGGACGCTGAGCTGCCTCCTGCCCCCAACTCCAAGTGGAAAACAGAGGCATCCCTGTGTTCCACAAAGGGGGACCGAAGCCAGGAAAGGACGAGTGGCCCCAGGCTGCCCTCGGGCTTCTACCAGGGACAAGCAGGACATGTGGCTCCAAAGTGAAGTTTCTGTTCCCAGCCTTGTGGGGAGCCCCACTGTCTCAGTGCTGGGGAACTTGACCAAGCACCGCTACACCCTGGTTCCACACAGAAAGTATCCTACCTCAGGCCTCTGGTCAGCCATGGCTGGGAGGAGGGGGGATGACAGGATGGAAATGAGGAAGGACAGGAGCCCACAGGAAGCCAGACTGACTTCCAGTCTCCAAGGAGAAAAGATAGGGCATCGTGGCTACCTCAGAACTCTGTTCAGAGGTCCAGTGTCTGGCCGCTGCGTCTCGAGCTGCGAAGGCAGCTGCTTTGCTGTGGTTGGGTTCTGAGAGGTCAGCTGGGCTCTCAGCCCAAGGGTGCTACCATTGTGAGCTCACTGTGTGCGGGAAGCAGCAATAAGTGTGTGTACAATCCTATTTAACCCTCCTGAAATCTGATGAGGTGCAGCTCATCCCTAGACATGAAGAAGAAAACTGGCCACTGAGAGGGGTAATTAAACTTCCTTCCATCAGGGTTATCTGGACAGATTTATGCCAACAGTTCAACAAAGATACGTGGGGCCAGCTACCCACCTTCAATCTGGGAACCAAGAGAAGCCAAAGACTCACGCATGCGCAGCCCGTGTGCCCATTAGATGGCAAAGCAAAAAAAAACTGTCCAAGGATAGTTGCCCAAACAAGTTCCGGCTCCGCCTCTATGATAATGATATGCAGATGTATGCAAATCTACACAAGCGACGGCACAAACCTTCGGGAGCTATGGGGTGACAGAGGAGCCGTTGCTATGGAAACCTCAAAGCGACACTCCCCTCCACCACCCGCACAAACGAGCGCAGAGACACAGGCACAAAGACCCCGGGGTTCCTGGCTCCGGCGCCCGGAGGAGCACCGAGCGGCCAAGGGCGTGACCCGGAAGGACCCTTCCAGATAGCTGCCAGCCGGGGCGGCTGGGACCCCGAGGAACACTCCGGGAGAGCATCGGGATGCCCTAAAATTCAGCGAGTTACAGGGCCTTTAAAGTGCTGGGGAATCTAACTCCGGCCTAGCAACGCGAACCCCGCCCAGCGTCGCATAGCAACGTCCCTCGAGCCTAGCAACCACCATCCACTCCCCCTAGCAACGTCAGGCCTCATCCGCCCTCCTGGGGACCAGGGCCAACAGGCAGACGGGGGTCCTCCCACCAGCCTGTCTCGAGACGGGCTGCAGAGTTCTGGGGTCCGCCTCTGCAGGCGAGGTGTGACAGCGTGCTATCAGCTTCATTAGCACAGGGGAAAACTGAAGTTCCTAAGTTCCTGCCCAGATGACAGAGACTGCCCTTCCCTGGGTGCCCTCGCACCTCCCTGCGCGGAAGTCCTGGTCGTCCCCTCCAGCCCCAGCGGCGTTGGGAAAGCCACCCAAGTTGCGGGCTGGAAGGAGCTGCGGGCTTGCATAGTAATGCGCGTCATTTGCATACAGCGCAGAGACTGTGGCGCTCCTTACCCCTTACAGCCTGGAAAGTTCTGAAGGAGCCGTGTCTCCTCCTCTTGCTCACCTGCCCAGCTCCTCCACGCTACCCGTACCTGTTCCCCGCACCACACCCCTACCCTTAATCTCAGTCCCTTCCTACAAGTTCCTGCACCCCGCCCTACCCCCAGCTCAGCCGCTCTCCTGCCAGCCCCGACCTCCATCCCAAAGCCGAGGGCCCCCTCTGCTGTCGGCTGCGGGTAGGGCACCTGCCGAGCTCCTGGGGCAGAGAAGAGGGGCTCCCACTACCATCCATTGCCCTACCCTCTCCAATCCAGCAGAGCCCTGGGATAAGTGCAGCGTGAAGGACCAATGGGCAGCAGGCACATCCTTCCCTTCAGGCCCTGCTTCCTCACACCTGGTGGGCTGCTCAGGGGCAACTGGCTCCCAGGCCAGCTCCCCTGGGACACACCCCATATGGAGCCACTTGAAGATTCCAGCTGCAGCTGCTGTGGGTGTTCACTGCAGATCCAGGGCAAGCAGGCACCCACTAGGCAGAGCACCAGCTGACACAGCACCCTGGCTGCCCTCCCTCCGGGCCCGAGACCCTGCGTGCTGCAGGGCCAGCACCAGGTGCAGCCAGTGTTAGCAGAGATCTGCAATCAGACACGTCCACACTCACAGGGACACACACAAAAGGAATATGGACCAGGATAAGGAGATGTGCCACCCCTCCCTGCTCACCTCTGCCAGAGGGAAAAATTTTACAAACATTCTAGAAACCACTGAACCTCCCCCCCCCCCCATTTACTTCTGCCCAAGTAATCGTTAGGTGTTGGTGCTTTTTTAGAAACCTCTGTCCATTCACCTCGCTTCCATTCAAGTCCTGACTCCTCCCTCCCCACCTCCTCCTCCTTCACAATACTCTTAAAATGCTTCCGGAGGTCACCGGGGCAACATCTGTGTGCCAACCTCAGTCATGGTGCAGGACCTCGGATCAGCAGCTGGTAGAGCTGCACAGCTGGGCTCTGAAACCTGGAGGTGACTCCCCTTCCACTCCCAGCCTCCTCCCCAGAGCCAGCAACCGGAGCCTCAACTTGGACAACTTCTTTATTGAACTAAACATCAACACCAGACTTAAGAACAGGCAACTGGAAGAGGGTAGCTGGGGGAAGGTGACCCACCCTCCCTGGGACTCCCTGAAACAGCTGAGGGTTCAGCACCGGGCAGGGTCACACCTCCCCAGGAAGAGGACGCTCAGAGCCATCCCCTTCTGCTGGACCCAAAGAGGAGTCAGGGGCTGAACCCGGAAGTCCTGCAGCTGTTGGGGGCAGGACCGGAGAGCTAGGAGTGCCAGGGGCAGAAGGGGGCTGCACAGATGCTGCAGGGGAGAGGAGAAAGGCTTCCTGGGCTGGGGGCCACAGTGAGGCTTGTAGCTGGTGACTCATGGACACTAGGGACTCCAGGTGCTGCAGCAGGGCTTGGTGGGGACAAAAAGCCTGATGGAGACTCTGGCCACGGCCAAAACCACGGCCTGCTGGTGCCACTGAGTAGGAGTGCCGGAACTGACACCAGCCTGGTTCTGGGGGCTGTTGTCTTTGCCCGGAACCCTGCCAGGTTTGGGGCTCTGCTAACAGTCTCCCCCTGCCTCTGGGGGCCCTCTGCCAAGCCAAACCTCCCCTTGGGACCAGGCTGCCCTGGCCATGGGCTGGCTGTGGGCAGCCCCTGGGGGCCATAGTCGGTCTCCTGTCCTCCGGCTGGTAGCACTTCATCTCCACTTTCCTGCTGAACGAAACCACCTTGCGGACCCTGCCCCACAGGGGGCTGGACACAGCAGGGTCCGGAAGCCTTTCCTTGGGGAGCAGCACAGCCAGCAAGAGGCTCGAGTGAGTGACTTCCAGACCTGGCACAAAGGCAACGGAAGAGGCACTGCGGCTGCCACAGGGGTGGGGGTTGGATGCAGAGACCCTAACAAGAGCTGGCCTCCAGAGGTGGCAGGAAAGAAAAGTGGAGCTGAGCCTGACCCAGAGCTGTGTGTACCTGCCTGGCAAGGGCATGGCTGGTTCAGTCCCAGGACCTCTACTTGGTGTTCTGGGATATACGGGGGTGGTCTCCATCCATTCCACAAGGCCCTCTCCTGGGGCTATGCTGGGAGGGACACCCATGCACAGGGGCCAAGCCTGGCCCAGCACAGCGGTGGGGAAAATCCCTCCTTGTGTCACTGTTTGTAGGTCCTGCGCCAGGGTCAGATGTGGCTGTTTCGTGAGTTTTTGCGATGGGGCACCTAACTCCAGAGACAGCATGGTGGGAGAATGGGGAGGACTAGGGGCCCAGTCAGGCTGCTTGTAGGTGACATCTAACTCTGCAGTGACAAATCCTGGCCTCTTCCCTACCTCAGTTTCCTCATCATGAAATGGAGACTATGAGAGTACTATTCTATTAGGGATATCTGGACACCAAGAGCCCACTTAGATAAAGCTTTCAGAACAGCGGCTCACATCTAAGGATGAGTTATTGTTACCTCATCCCATCAGCCAGGAGGTCCCTTTTGAGATGTACCAGCTGCCCCTTAAGATGCAGGTGATCCTGTCAGTCTGGTCACCAAGAGAGGGGTGCTGGGGCCAGCGCTGTGGGTGAAGCTGACACCTGCAACACCAGCAATCCATATGGGCGCTGTCAAGTCCTGGCTACTCCATTTCTGATCCGGCTCTCTGCTAGTGATTTGAGGAAAGCAGCAGAGGTTGGCCCAAGTGCTTGGACCCCTACACCCACGTGGGAGGTGTATTAGATGCTGCTGGCTCCTGGCTTGGGCCTGACTCAGCCCCAGCCATTTTGGTTAAATAGTGAACCCATGAATGGAAGTTCTTTCACTCTCTGTGTGATTCTTTCAAATAACTAAATAGCATCCTGAGAGAGAGAGAGAGAGAGAGAGAGAGAGAGAGAGAGAGAAAGGAGGCAAGGTGTGATAAAAACATTGGGAAACTTACCTGGGCCTCCCAGGGGGCGCAGCCTGCTAGGCAGGGGCTGGAAAGCTGGCAGCGGCAGCAGGACCATGCCCACCTGCTGCACGGCTGCCAGGCCATGGCGCTGCTTGTTGTTGAGATAGGAGTAGAGCAGGCGGCAGTTCTGAGTGTCCCGAGCCCCGTGGGGACACAGTCTGAGCACACACATGTCCTGTGGGTTACACGGCAGCAGCCTGAGCAGCCATTGTCCTCTGTCCCTGCGCACATCCCCGGGGCCACCCGAGCCTCTGGGAACCCCAAGGGGAAGTGGGTTCTCCATTTTCCAAAGGAGGAGGAAGAGGGACCTGCACACAGGAAACTAGGCCTCTGCTCCAGAGGAGAGGGTGGCAGGAGAGGGGTGCTCAGGAGGGAGCAGGTACCTTGGCCTTAGCTGGCTCGATGCTGGCCAGAAGGTCCCAGATGGTGTTAGGGGGGATACAGCCGGCTGAGCGGATCACCTCGGGCAGAACCTGTGGCAAACAGGCAGGTCAGTGAGCCCCCAGCCCCCCATGCACTCAGAGCAGGCAGATGTACCCCCAGCCATAGTGGACAGGCAGCATCCCTGGGCCCTGAGTGGCTGGTCCAGTCAGGCTTCTGTACCTCTGGCCCTCTTCTGATAGGTCAGCTGATTGGTCTGTCACTCAATAATCACTTCTCAACCCTCCTATGGCCCAGGGAGGTACCAGCAGCCTTCTCTGTTGGGCCCCTCTTGGGTTACAGGCAGTCCTCCACCCCCGTGTGTCTGTGCAGGAGTGGGGCTACCATCTCGTTTATTCCCATGCCTAGCACAGAGAGGGTGCAATGCCTCTCTGAATCAGCAACAACCAGACAAAGGAAATGTCCAGGACTGGAGAGTAGCTGATGGGCTGCACAGTGAGTTGAGGATAGGGGTTCCCTGGTGATTTGGGCAGGCACACCTGAGCAAGCTGACAGTTATGTCCCAAGACCAGCTGAGCAGTGACACGGAACCGCTTGATGGAGAACATGTCAAGCACACCCTCCCAGAGGGGCTGGTTAGGTAGGGTCTTTGTGGACCCGGCAGGCACCTGGGACCTAGAAAAACAGAGAGAGAGAGAGAGACAGGGCCAGGCAGAACATCAGCACACCCCACCCCAGTTTCTCCTCTCTTTCCTGGGTCCCCACTGCCTGGCCTTGCACAGGGGTCCAGAATGGGAAATTTGTTCCTGCCCACAGTCTGGGGTGATGGGGCACTCAGACAGGAAAGTCCCTCTCTGCTTTGTGCATCTGGCGTCCCAGCTGGTGGCTGCCCCTCCTTGCCGCCAACCTTGCTGGCTCCCAGCCCCACACCTGTCCTGGGGTTTCGTGGATGCTTCTGGAGCAGCCACAGTAGCCGGGCCTGCGATTCTCTGGAAGACACCATTCTTGCCGCTCTTAGTGACTTTGAGGAAGCCTGACAGCTCACTCATGGGATTCCAGGCTGCAGACAGCAGAGGCAGTAACTGAAGCAGGCAGCCAGCACATGGAAGCCATGCTAGGGCTTTGAGAAGGCAGGTTCTTCCTAAGAGGACCTGGGCTGCCCACTCCCACTGCTGCTGCTGAACTGATCCAACTAAGCGCCCCAGCCTGCCCACTGCCCCGATGTGGCACCCGGACCCGTGCAGATGCGGCAGTTGGGGTCTAGGAAGTGGTGTTCGTGCTGCTCCGTGGTGTCTCCTGATGCGGCAGGTGGGGCTGATGGGCTGCTGTGGTCCGGCGACTCCAGGAAGCCCTGGCAGGCAGAGGACAGAGCAGCTCACTGGGAGCACGGCTGGGGAGGCTGAGGGCCTCCCCTGGGAGTGGGCCTTAGGGGCATAGCAGATTCTGCTTTTCTCAATAGTGTTTTTGTTTGTGTTTTGTTTTAATTATGAAGTACCAGGAGGGATGGGGATTTGGCACAGCAGTTAAGCCACCACTTGAGATGCCTGCATCCCACCCTGGGATGCCTGGGTTCAAAGCCTCGCTCTGCTTCCAATTTGAACTTCCTGTTTATGCATACCCTGGGAGGCAGCAGGTGATGGCTCAAGTACTTTGAGTGCAGAAAAAATGATTGGGAATAAGAATAACATTAGTTACCCTCCTCTGCAAAAAAAAAAAAAAAAGTAGATTTGCAACCTACAAATAAAACCTGCAAAACTACTGAGAAATATTGCAAAATCACTCCTTTGTCCCACCAACCAGGGGCAAATGTTGGGGTCTAGGCGTTTCTTTATCATGGTTTTCCCACACTCGGGCCCTGGGTCTGTCACGGAGACAGCTGGGGTGGATACTCAATTTCACTGTCCGGCTTTGTTTATTAGGCACATCAGAGTCGCTTGGAGGTGACACCAGGCCTACCAGGAGAGCTACAGTGCAGGCACCACCTCTCCTGGAGGTCAGCTAGGTCATTTCCAAGTTGTCACCATGACACACAGAGACTAGAACAGAAAGCATGTTGCTAAACCACCGTGTCCACTGAGGACAAGCCCTCAGGAGCTGGTGATGGAACCAAGGAGAAAGAATGTTTGAAGACCGCTGGGGAGGGTTCCTGGCACAGAAAGGATGCCCACATCCCCTAGTTCCTAGACTTGAGTCTCAGGCCCAATTCAATCCAGCTCGTTATTGCACCTGGGAAAGTAACAAAAGATGAGCCAAGTGGGTGGGCCCCAGCCAACCATGTGGGAGATCCAGATGGAATTCCAGCCTGCTGGCTTCAACCCACGCCAGCCCCTGCTATTACGGCCATTTAGGAAGTGAGGTAACGGATGGAAGATCTCTCACTGTTTCTCTGTGTCTCCCCCTCTGTCACCTAGCCTCACAAATACATTTTTAAAAAATTATAATAAGACTCTCAATGCCACTGCCAAATCATTTTTTTACCTAACAGATGTGGCTTCAAGCACAAAACAAGCACTGGTTAGCAAGATTCAGACAACTTTGAAACTCTGCTCCTGCCTCGCAGAGCCTTCCCCAGCAGGTGCCCGCATGTTTCAGAGTTCCAAAGTCAGGTCCTGGTCAACCAGCACACATCAGGTGATGATCATCCTGGAGACTAGAAGTGACAGGAGCTAGCCCATGGGGGCCCATGAGGTCTGAGTGAGGCACTGTTTGTAAAAGGAGCACGCAGGGGCTTGGCCGTGAACTAGCCCCTGACCCCTGCTCTGCTCCCTGTTGTCCACCACGTTTGGTGCGGAGGGCTTTTTTCTGGGTTTCCCCAGATCCTGTCCTCACAGGGAACAGGGATCAGTTTGGGCTGGAGGCAGTCATGCCCCTAGAAGCCCCCTCTACACAGGCCATGGCTCCTCTGGTCACTGGGTATGGGCTGGGAGACTCAAGGACCCACCCTATACCCTTCTGAACATACAGCTTATCAGAATGGGGTGAACACGTGACCCATGCAGTGGCCAACACAGCCAGAGTGCCTTCTTCTAGAGGGATGGTGGGAGCTACAAGAGGCTCAGGCAGGACTGCTGGGTCCAGGGGCTGTTGAGCCACTGTTCTAGGCTCTACGCAAGATGGGGCAGGCTGGAGGGAAGATCTCAGAACAGAGAGAAGAGGCTCAGTGACAAGACAAGACCTGGACTCCAGTCACTCCCACTGGCTTCCAAGACCCAGGATAAGTTCTAAAGGGCCCTCTGGCCCAGCAACCCTGGGCTCTGGGTGGTCCCTGCCTGGAGCACTCCTAAACAGGTCCACTGGAAGGCCTCTGTTCTCCACCTTGGAAAGCTCACTACTTGGACCAATGTTGCCCCTATGCTTTGCAGCCTGTGTCCTGGCCAATGGCTGCAGCTGGCGACAACTGTAGTTGGGGGAACTTGACTTAATGCCACATGTTAGGGACCTGCAGGGGACTGCGTGGCTGGCCACAGGAGGGGCAGGGACCCTGGGTACAGAGTTTGCTAGTCTCAGCTCTGTCTCCCCTTACCACCAGATCCTCCAGGGTCAGCGTCTGATCGTCATCTCGCGGGATCTCGACTTCACCCTTGTGAGTCAGCTTGGAGACCGGAAGTCCACATAGCTCCTGTTGGTGCTGTTCAATGACCTCCAGGACCTGCAGTTACCAAGGCCAGCCCTACCTGAGTCTGTGGCCCCGGGAAGATCCTCAGTCTCTCCTGGGCCTTCTAAGGCTGGGATGGAAAGAGAGGGAGCCCCAATGACAATCACCCTGGACTCCAGATCCTAGCTGCCACCAGGCCCCAGGTCCACACAGCACCTGATCTGCTGCCTTCTTGTAGACACCCCATCTTCCCACATCCCCCGATCCCAAGCCCTTCCATTTCAGCCTCTTCCTACTTTTCTCCAGAATGCACTCCCTGAGCCTCTGTCCCCTCTCCCTGCGCTGTCTCCTATCCCTTTGATCCGGTTCCTGCTGCGTTCTGTGTCTGTCCCCTGTGCTGCCCTGCTTACCTTCTTCTCCTCCTGGTCCCGCCAGCGGGACAGCTCCTGAGGGGCCAGCTGGATGGAGGTCATCCGCACCAGGTCGTGGGGGGTGACTTCACCTTGAATTACTTTGAGAAACAGGTCCTGCAGGGGTGGGAGCCCAAGCTACACCACCTCTTCTGACAGCCCCACCCTAGCCCCGCATCCACAGGAAGGTCTCCAACAAGGGCCCGGCCATACTCACTGGGTTCCTGGGGTCACGCAGGTTGAAGAGCAGGCTGCGGTACTTGCTCTTGTAGCGGCCATTGGTGCCTTGTGTCAGGTCCAGGAGGGCAGCCTCAATGCTGGTAGCGATAGCCTCTACTGCCTCCTCACTCAGTGCCAGGTCGGGCAGCTCAGGAAGGCTGGGGGGCAATGGCAGGGCCGTGGTCGCTGAGCCCACTGGATTAGTGGCGCACCTGGCCCCAGGTGGGGGGGCACCTGGGCACCTGCTGGTCTCTGTTGCCAGGAGGCTGTTAGTTTTTGCCCAGCCTGGGAGAAAGTACCTGCCGTTCTCCATTCGCAGGTGCAGCAGCAAGGCCTGGAGAAGCCCAGGGCTGGCCCAACACCACATCTGCAGTGGCAATGCAAGCCTAGCAGCCAGCTCTAAGCCTCTGTCTCCAGCTTGTGCTCAGGGACTTTGCAAGCTCGGTCTTACCGACTCCTCAGTGCCTCGTGGATGGCACGGACCACGGTGCCTTGGACTGCTGGGTCCAGCGTTGACCTCTCCTGTAGGGACTGGAGCTGGGCTGTGGGGAGACAGTCACAGGCTCTGGGAGGAGGTGCCCAGGGTGGTGAGGTACAGAGCAGTTTGAGGCTGAGGGCTCAGGCAGACAAGGAGGGGGTCCTACTCTTAGAGATCTCCTCCCCCCACCACAAGCTCAGGCAGCCAGAAGCCCCAATTCTTTGGGCAAGGACCACAGGCTTATGGGTGATAGGGAGAGGAACCCCAGGAGGGTGGAGCCAGGAAGCCAGAAGCCAGGAAGCCAGAACCATGTCCACCAACCTTCGCCCGAGACCTCTGTCCTCCTGGGTAGGGCTTCCTCTGCCTCAGCCTCCATCAGGCCACGCTGTGGAGAGAGGTGAGGAACCTCTGGCCCAGGAGACACTGCTTCTGTAGTCACTGCCTCACCCCCACCAGCTCCAGCATGAGGGGATCACAGGGTAGGGGTAGCCGCTGTCACGTCTGGACAGCTGGGCTCTCCAGGACTCGGAGTGCTAGAACAGGTTGGCTGATCCCACCCTCTGGTAAAGCTCTGAAGCCAGAGGGGCTGGACCCAGAGGACCAGAGCCCAGGCTAGCCCATGAGGTAGAGGCTAGCCCATGTCTGGCTATCCTGCTGTGCGACAGTGAGCAAACCATGGCCTCTCTCAGAGCTTCAGGGGTGCCTCTATGCATCAGAGGGGACCCCATCCAGCAAGACCCAGAGACCCCACTTGTTTTGAACCTGGCACTCCGTAGGGCCCTCAACCAGGGGCTCTTTCTTCCTTCTGTGCCTCTTTGTGGATGGGCCTGAGATGATCTCCGTCAAATCCTCCAGAGCTTCCAGCTTGGTTATCGCCTGGCCTCCTGTCGGGCGGTGGCTGATAGCACCCAGGAGATGGACCACTGGCCCAGATCCGAGCTGCAGGAGAGATGAGCCCTTCAGACTGAGCCCTTCCCCTTCAACCTCCTCACCCCGCTCTGGGCTGCAGGCACCACCAGGACAAGGGGACAGGCCTGACACACAGTGGGGATGAGCAGAGCTGTCTGTCTGCTGCCCACGCTTTTGCATTCTTCTCCAATCCCAGCCACAGCCAGAGGCAACTGGAAACCCCCAAGTAGCAGCCCTTCCTCAACCTCCTGACGGGGGATGCCCCCACATCACAGCTCTTCTGGAGATAATGGGCTCACTCGGTGCCCCTCCCCTGAAGCAGCCACTACTCCATAATGCTCTATAAGGCTCCCTCTGACTTCCTGGAGAGAAATTCCTTCATGATTGCAAGGCCTCGGGCCAGCATTTTGGTCTTCTCCTGAGCTACAGGGTCTACCCAACTCCCATTTTTTTCGCTATGGCTGCCAGGGAGCTTGAAGTGCAGGCAGAGCCTTCCAAGACTGACAGAGGGGGAGGAATTGTAGCAAGATTGTCCCTCCCCCTTCCCGGCTTCTTGCTTCCTTCCAACCTTTACCCCACTCCAAGTGTGTGGTGACTCTTTTATTTACTGTAAACCACAGGGAACAGTTTAGAAGGTAGGTTCTGGAATGAAGCATCTTGGTCCTAAGGTTGAGCAGGGAGGTAGACTAGAAGTCTGGGTTTCAGCATCACGGGGGAGCTGGGACCAGGGGATGCCCTGCAACCCAACGGGTCGGGGCACCAAGGCAGCTCCATGGTGTGGGATTCCTTCCTCCCCATCTCACCCAAGGAGGGGGACAAAAAGGGGCAATAAGCAAAGGCGCAAACCTACTAGGTAACATACAAGCTTCACCCCTTGGGGCCTTTCTTCTTTGTCCTTGGAGAGAAAGAGGACCTGAGATTAGGATCAGTTCCTCCACCTCCCTCAGCACACACAGAAGTCAAACTTCCTGTGAGGGACAGTGATGGGTGCTCACTGGCATTTCACGCGCAGAAGTTGGGGCAGAGCCAACATCCATAAAGAGAGATGGCTAGCAAACGGTGACAGCGCTCAGGACACCTTGTGTGAGATCACTCCAAAGGGTAAAGGAATCAGGATAAAAATGGCCAGTCCCAGGGGCTTCCACACATCACACATCATCTGGTCAAGGCCTCACTACAACCATACCCAATTCCAGGTGAGGAAACTGAGGGAGCCTTGCACGGTCCCACGGCTGGGAACCTGCAGAGCTGACAGCATCAGAACCTACTTCTGTGGACCTCAAAGGCCAGGCCCTTGACGGCTAGGCGGTGTGGGGACTCAGGAAGACCCATGTTTCATGGCGTATCATTGGGAGAAGAGGAGAAAAAAAATAGGTTAGGAAGCGGGGTGTGTTGCATAAGCCCATTTATGTAAATACATATTTGTAGATGTATGATGGAGACTCCCTCTGGGGAATGACATTCCAGGGGAACTTGCACTTTTCTGCTTGTAGACACATGGGTATTTGTTCTTCAAAATGAGCATGTATTTCTTTCATAATGAGGAACATATCTTTTTTTTATTAAAAAGCGAGTTCAGAACAATGTGTGTAGTGTGTTCCCATTTGTGTGACAGAGAAAATGAATTTTTAAATTTGCGTTTGCTTGAATGCACATGAAATATGTTAGGGAGGAGCTGTACGGACCTAAACACCCACCCTAGGGCAGGGAGGGACTGGGTGCTAAAAAGGACACCTTCCCTTTTGCGTGCATATTTATGAACCAGGGGTATGAAGTAAACCAAGGGACTGGTGCCATGTCCCGCTTGAAAGCCCCATCACCTCCCATATCACAGTCCTTGGACCAAGCCCTACTCACCCTCCCGCCCTCCCTGCTTCTTTTTAAACTTTATTTTTCTGTTCATTTATTTATTTGAAAGGCAGAGCAACAGAGAGAGAGAGAACGAGGAGACACCTGATTCGCTTCCCAAATGGCTGCAACAACCAGAACTGGGCAGGACTGAAGTCAAGTGCTTGGAACTCTATCCAGGCCTCCACTTGGGCCATCTTTCTGCTGCCTTCTCGAGCACATTAACATAGAATTGGGTCAGAAATGGAGCAACCCTTACTCAAACCAGAGCTCTGATATGGGAGGCTGGCAATGCGAGAGGTGGCTTAACACACTGCATCACCATGTGTGTTCCTTGACAACCACCCCTGTGGTCTGCTGCTGACTGAGCTTCCTCTTCATGCACATAGGAGATGGCAGATCAGATGGCTCAACAACTGAGCCCCTGACACCCACACGGGACACGGCAGGAGTTACTGGTCCTGGCTTTGGCCTGGTCTAACCTCAGTTGTTGCCACTATTTGGGGAATTAATCAGAAAATGGAAATGTTGCTCTCCCTTTTGCTTTTTCTCTCACTTTCCCTCTGTCATTCTGCTTTCCAAATACATCTTCAAACAGCAGTAAATTGAGGAGCGGGGAGGAAAACTGAACACAGAGGATATTGTGGAGGAGGGGGCAGAAACGTCCCAGTGTACAGCCTTGGGACTGGCCCTGGTCGCAGGGACCCCAGGCTAGGCAGCCAAGACTTCAGTCATTGGACTTGGCAAAGCAGAATCCAAAGCACTCGGTAACACACTTACTAAGCGAAAGGGTCCAGCACACATGTGAAGGGCAAAGGCAATAAAACAGGTAGATGTGCTTGGGAATCAGATACAACTTCTGGAAATTTACAAATACTGGAATAATCAACATGAAAAACTCAAATTGTAGGTTTAATAACATATTAGAGCTTAGACAAGTGAGTGCATCGAAGACAGATTTCGAGAAATTTCGAGATGATTCACAGTACAAGGACAGGGTGGCAAGGACTTATCTGTCAACTCAAGTTCCAGAAGGACGGAGGCCAGAGAATGGGGCAGAGGCAGTATCTGAAGAACACACAATTAAGAAATTTTCAGAATTGATCAAAGACAGCAATTCACAGATGTGAAAATCTTGGTGAATTTCCAACAGGATAAATGAAAGGCAACTCACACCTAGCTTCATCAACACTGATGCTAAGGAAATAAGAGAAAACAACAGCTAAGGCTCGGAGCACGGGAAGAGGGCTGCTCCCGCTGGGGACTTTCAGTTTATTCTCACCACAACCCCAGGAGGCAGGCATTGGGACCAGGATTACACTCATGTTACAGAAGAGGAAACTGAGGCACAGTGCAGCATACCAGCTCACACCGTGCCACCTAATCAAACAGCTAGGGACTAAGTACAGGTAAGGTTAATCCAGGGACTACACCAGGGCTCTAGACCACCCCCTGAAAGGGCATCTATCCACCCAGGGACGGCAATTAGACAAACAGCCTTCTCTCCATGGCGATCACGAAAAGTAAAACATGCCAGAGTAATATTTTTGACGTGCTTTTAAAAAGCTGTCCATTGTAGGCTCAAAGTATTTTGTTTTAAATGAGGATGAAATAAAGATATTGTGGAGAAAACAAAGAGTTATTTTTCTTGACAATTTTGCTGTATTCAATAAACAAAAGCACTAAAAGATGAACTTGAGGTAGTAAGAAAGAAAAATTATCTCAGAAAACAGGCGTGAAGAGAAATTCTGAGCAAAGACAATGAGAAACGTGTTGTTCAGTCTAAACAATCTCCACAGGAAACTACGGTAAGAGTATGCAACTTGTACGATTAAGGAAAAACAGACAGGACCCATTCACTGTCTAACAACAGCGCACAAATTGTGTGTGTGATCAGAATTACCCAAATCCTGTATCATCTGCAAAGACAAAGCTTGCAATTACCTTTATATTTTGACAAGCTAGGTATTCTTGTTCAGTTTCTAAGGGAACCGCCCAGAACTACATAAACATATGACTTAGTTATACTATTAACATATAACTATATACATGTTTACTTCAGGCACAGAAAATTTCTGAATTATTAGAGAAACAAAAAGAGGGGTAAAAAATAATCACAAACCAGATAATACGTGGGGAAAAGTAGAGCGATGGAAGAAAATAAATAGTAAACATAAACACAAATAAATCAGAAGTTACAACAAATGTAAACCAACTTCAGATACACACAAAAACAATCAGACCCTTACAACAGAAAATTTAATTATAGGGTATTGGTAATATTCCTTTCTAAAACATAAGATGCAAAAAAGTTTTAAAATAATGAAATGGGAAATATGTAGACAGGCAAATTCCAACCAAAATTAGTCCTGAAGCTATATAAATGTCAAATCAAACAGAAGCTGAAAATAATTACAAGACCTAACCACATACTTTTACTAAACTTGTATCCAATCTAAACTTGTAAGCACCTAAAAACTTGAAAATATCTAAAAAAAAAATTGGTAGAACTACAAGAAAAAAGATCATTGCTGTAAATGCTTATGCATATCTGTGGCTATTGATAAGTCAGGCTGGCAAACTAATCATCAAAAATAGAAAATAATTAATTAAAACACTTAACAAACTTGACCAATTCATAAGCTTGTCTGAATCCAGAAGATTGACTACAATAACCAGAGGATATGTTCTTTCTACATAGATATGAGATTTAAAAATTTATTTGAAAGGCAGAGCAACTGAGAGAGAGGGAGAGACAAAGAGGGAGAGCTCTTTCTTCTGCTGCTTCACTCTCTAAATGGCCACAACAGCCAGCACTGGGTCAAGTCGGAGCCAGGAGCCAGGAACTCCATCCAGGTCTCCCCATGAGTGGCAGGGGCCCAAAGAGTTGGGCTACCTTTCAGTGCTCTCCCACCTGCTGGATGGAAAGCAGAGCAGCCACAATTCAAACCAGGGTGTCAATAAGGAAAGTTGTGTTTGTAAACCACATCTTAACCCACTGTGCCACAACTCCAGTCCTAAACACACGTATTGTTTTCAAACACACATGAAGGACGCATGGAAACTGACCATAGCCTGGACGATACATCAAATAACAACAAACTTCAAAAGACCCCCTTGCTTTAGGTCAGTACTGCCCAACAGGAATAATAAGAATCACAGCATTCGTTTACATTTTCTAGTAGCCATAGCAGAAAAAAGGTAAAAATAACAAATGAAAATAATTCTACATTATTCAATTCAACAGGTCAAAAATATACTCTTTGAACAGGTAATCCATATAAAGTTACTGAGATTGTAACCTGACAGGGAATACTAAGTCTTTGAAACCCAGTGTGTACATTACACTTACAGGACATCTCAGTGTGGACTAACCGAATCCCAAGGTCCAACAGATGCACAGTAGTGAGAGGTCTTCAAAAAGATCACATTCCCAGGGCTGGTGCATTGACTTACCTGGCTAATCCCCCCCTTCAAGTGCCAGCCTCACATATGAGCACCAGTTTGTGTCCCGGCTGCTCCGTTCCCATCCAGCTCTCTGTTTGTTGCCTAGGAAAGCAGTAGAGGGTGGCCCAAAACCTTGAGCCCCTGAAACTATGTGGGAGACCCCAAAGATGCTTTTGGCTCCTGGCTTCGGATTGACACAGCTCCCATTATTGCAGCTATTTGGGGAGTGTACCAGAGGATGAAAGATCTTTCTCTGTAAATCTGCCTTCCCAATAAAAAGAAATGTATAAATAAAAAAAGAAGCAGAAATAAAGAAAACAGTAACACACACACACACACACACAAACTTCTCAAATGCTTGGAAATTAAGGAATGTTTTTTAAATAACACAGAAGTCGAAGAAAATCGTGAGTTATAAAGCAACAGGGAGGGCGCTGTGGTGCAGTGAGTTAAGCTCTGCTGGGCAAGCCAACACGCCATCTCAGAGTGCCGGATGAAGGCAGCAGTGCTGGCTGTACAGGTCAGAGACCGAGACGCAGTGCCAGCCTCCCGGGTTAGCCTGACCCAGTGCTGGCTACTGCGGGCATTCAGGGAGTGAAC